ACATTTCTGCTAAAGTCACTGTTTTTTTTATGAAGTAAATGGGTAATCATTAGTTTTGGTAACGAAGTTGTGAAACACAAATTTCATGTTTGTGTTGATGGAGGCGTTTTATACATCTAATTCTGTTCTTGAAGTGGTACTAAACCTCCTTTATAATTAATGGATAAGCCAGTAAACTGGAACTTATGAACACTGATTCAATGTTTTGTGCTAAAACAGTTATTTTAATCCATCTTATGTCTATACTTGTTTTGATAATTATGTCCCTGAGCTTGCATCAGGTTCATTGGGTAGACAAAAATTTTTCTCACTTCTGTAATCTGGAATGAGATAAATACTTGAAATATATTACGTAATAAGTTCTTTTTGCCAATTTGTTATTTTCCCTTTGTTTGTTCCATATATTTTTTTTGGTTTATTGCAGAATCAAAGTGGGGTGTGGCAAAAAATAAAAATTAAAAAATAGACCCTGTTTCTTTATATTCTCTATGTTGAATGATTGTGATATAGTAGGATGTGATAGGAATCATAAAATTTTGATTTTAATTTTTAATTTATTTGAGAGATTTGGGGAGGGGGGGTTTTTTTTCTGCAAGAACAAGTGTTTTTTTCCCCAACTGTTTTATTTCTACTCCGTAGAGGCTCTGAAAAAGATGTAAGTATTCATTTTATTTGTTTTCTCTCCTCCTTTGGCCTGTAAGCTAATACTATCATACTTTTTTGGATCCAAAAAACTCATTTTATTGAATTAAATAATTCAGGTTTGTTCACTGGTTGAGAAGAAATAGGTGTTGGATGGGTAGACAAGGAAGGATGCACATCAGACAAGCTTGCTGAGAAATGCCCTTCAACAGCCTTTGGCAGGTATGTAATTAGGTCGATTAATTTTTTTTTTTAAACACGGTTTCCTTGTTAAGCCATTATTCCTGTAAACTGTAAGGATGTAATTCATCAAATTGACGGGTTGATGTGGTGATAGGTTTTTGTTATGTTGTATATTAGTGGGTCTTTTATGAAGAATATTATTCTGAGTTAACATGCATTAGCTGTAAATGCTTTTTCTTTCTAGTATCTTCTTCTGGTTTGATTTCAGTTCAACAGTCAATGATCGTATCTTAGTTGCTGAATGTATTTTTGTTCGCAGAAAAATATGTTGCATACATCACACCTCAAGTCTGGAGCTGTGGACCAAATGATTTTGATAAGCTGTCTCTTGGAAAAGAGAATGGATTTCTTGGATACATTTGTTAAATCCTGGATTTCAAGTTGAGTGGAGCCAAGAAGATGGTTTTACCTAAAGAACGTACTCTGAGGTGGGGCGTTTTTTGATGATCCTCTTCAGTAGTTTGATTTGAATTTATTTGCTCAATTTTAAACATAGGTGATGCTTGGATAAAGGGTAATTAGGCCAAAGAAACTCCAAACCGAGGTAATAGTGGGTTATCCTGGAGAGAAACAAACTCCTTTTTTGGATTTAGCAAATGCACCAAGAATGTGGGCGCTAAAGACAGTGAAGGGAGTGGGCTGGCTCCATGTCTGCTATTGCTTGTCCTTATGCAGGCTCCAATTATTCCTGTTTAAAAGGTACAGGACTTGGTGGTCAGACCCTAGTGTCTCCCATTATCCAAGTACTCCCAATGTTGTTATCAGCAAAATTGTTTATTAATTGTTAATTTTTAATAGTGCATTTACATACTTGTGTTTCAATACATGACAAAATAAGTTGTTTTGAAAATGCTCTCTCCAAGAAAGTGAAAATATTTTCTTTCTTGAAATTGGCTAGAACCTTGAAGACTAATATTAACTTTGCATTTGGAAATAATGATTAAACACAGTCCTATAAGATCTGTAAAAATCACGATAGGAATTCGTAATCAACTTGATATAAAGTAAACCAGTGCTGGAATTGCAGATTTAATCTTATTTGATTGAAAAATCATTTACAGGATACTGGAAGTTGAACCCTGGGATCAACTTCAATATAATTTTGTGAATCAGCAAGCAGCAGAAGCGTGCCCAACTCTCCTAGGTAACATAAAAGAAAGTTTCTTTCTTTTGCTCTCTAAGAGTCCCTTAAAATTACTCGAGTGTTTCTGTTGCTTTTTAACAGTGTCTGAATCAGAGGTTCTTACACTTTTCCTAAATTTGCCTTGGATTTTGACTCAACGCGAAACTTTGATGGTGTTGATTTTACTATGGGAAATATTGGTCTTCTGTTGTGAAGCTTTGTGGATGGCCATTTATTTGGTCTTTGAAGACCAGAAATTCATTTAAATTGCCACACAGATGCACCATTCCTTTCTGTCTTATTTGAGAATATATCTATAGGCAAATCCTTCTTGATGTTTTTTTATTCTTAATTATTTGCATGGTGAATATGTGGCTGCAAATGTTCAGAATCCTGACCCAATCTATACAAACACTTTTCTTCCTCTAATGCTGTGCTCAAGGAGGGGTCTCTGTCTTGTATTTGAAGGATTTTGTAGCTCTGGAGCTTATGCTTAACCCTTAGGAGAGAAGTCGACCTTTTCCAAATGTTGACCTGTGGACATCTGAGCCCAGTTCTAATACCAATTTTTAAAATACCTAAGGAGAACTCACCGCCTAAACTTTAGCTGTTAGGTGAGATCAAGGAAGACCTGGCGAGTAACTGATATAGAGCTACCCATGGTTGCAATGTGGCATATTGGGATCATAGCTGGTATGTGCTTGAGGAGATGTCATAATAAGCCTTGACAATTAGTATCACCAAGCTGGACATATTGATTTTGCTTCATGTGCTGTCAAGCAAAAAGGGAAATAGAAAGGGTGAGTGCTTCTTTTTGCAATAATTGTTTGACAAAGTTTACTTTAACATTTTTGAAAGCCTTTCAATTAAGCAATTTTCTTTAGATACATGTGTTGACTTTCCTTTGGAATATGAAGATTGTTGTGGCACTTTATTTGTCACAACCTTATTTTGTTTGTTCAGTTTGTGGGTGGCAACTATTATCCATTTATATTTTGGTTTGGCTTATCTTGGGATTAATCAAGTAATGATGCAAATTGCCCATAATTTTATGCGATGATTTTGGGTCTAATTGGCTTCCTGGAAAGTACTCTCGGAAGCATGTTGCTTCCAATAAATAGTTACCTGGCCAAACAACAATTCAATGTAAAATTAAATCATGGTTAATTTCGTTAAAAAACAGTTACTTTTTATCTTTTAATTCCTAGATTGCCCCGCAAATTTTCGATTCCAAGTAAAAAGGACGAAG